TCATAGTCAGGCAAGATCACATCTAATTGGTGCGAATCATCAACGGCTTCATGAAGGAGGGGGAGTTTGGATGGAGCCTAGAGATCTGCATTGCCTTCTGCATGTTCTGCACACTAAACTTGAGATCTAGAGATCTTAATTACTATTACTTTTCTTACCATCTATTGTTACTCATTGCTTACTCTATCTTAACATCTATTGCTACTCTTCAAAATTGAAAAGAGAAAATAACTAGAGAAACCACCTTGAATAGAGAGGAGAAAACACCTACCCTGAGACTCCAGTTACCTCTCATTTGCGTGGATATAGTGTAGAGTTCAAGAGCCCAATTCCTGTCTATTGCCTATACTAGCTGTGCACTTTTGGGAAGTTAACTTCTGGTAGGCCTCAGTTGTTTCAGCTATAAAATGAGGGTAAAATATATTCTTCAGAGGTGTTTTCTGTGGATTTAATGGGATTCTGTATGTCAAGTGTTGAGCTAGGTGCCTGGAACATAAGTACTTAGTAAACGATAGCCATATTTAATAGATGCTATAACTATCTACCTAAGTAGATGGACATGACCAGATATATAAAAGGGTGAGTAATATACATTTGCCTGAATCATCAGAACATTGATATTGGTTCTGAATTTTAGAGTTAGCAGTTCTTCCAACTTGAGAGCTCTCCAGCAGCAGAATGAATACAGAAATGCCATTGCAGTTATTAAGGGCACAATAGTAACCAAACCCCCAAACATTTTAAGGTAGCTAAGAACCTTTTCACCTGAGCAGTTTTCTGTCTCTTTATTGCCCTAGGTAGCTGCCCAAGTTGCAGTTAATCCAGTATTTCTTGATTAGGTAGAAAAATTACTCAGGAAGGACAGTCTGACTCTGCAGAGTCTACAGTACAGTTTGTCTCTCAGTGACGAAATATTCACTTTTACCCAGCCATGAATTTTCTGGATAACTCTACTATTAATATTTTTATGCTTTGATTGAGTTTTAGTTACTATACATGGAGGATTGGGGATGATCTATACTAAATGGCCTCAATCAAATACTCAGAAAAAAAAAACAAACAAGAAAGCTACCTGGGTTATATAGGTGATTGTTTTCTTGAACTTAGTAACTTAAACATTGTGTTAAACATCGTGGAGAAAAAAAATTACCATTACGTTTGCCTTCGGAATCTCTGTTTTTATCTGGTGCCTACTGAGAATCGGGTAATTTCACTTTAGGTTGTACATGACTGAAGTGTCTGTTTGCCTTTGTATTTTTAGTCATCACATGACCATCTAGGTCTAAGCTGAAGAGTAATTTAGGTTAGGCAAGGAAAGTTTTTTCCATTGTATTGCCTCTTGGAACAGGAGCATTTTTTGTTGCTTATTAATCACATAAGGGTATCAATTTATGGAAATGAAATATCTACAGAGGTAAATATTAATATGCCTTTTATTAGAAATGTTTTTAAAAGAATAAACCATTTTAAAAGACAGGACTATAGACTCAAGTACATTAAAAAAAATATTTGGGGATGTTGAGAAAATCAGTCATTCAATATTTCCAATATCTAGCATGGTTTAATTACCACTTCATGCCCTAATTAAACTAGACACTGCATTAGGCACATACCCCTACAGATTATGAAATCTGAGATAAATTGTTTGCACTAAGCAGATGGAATGAATCCATTTAAATATGGAGCTTTAGATTCTTTAAATACAGTGTAATATTAGAATCATAACGGGTTCAACTTAATTACTGTAGTATGAGGAAGCAGATGTTTGGGAAATCAATATGAGAAAACAAGCTTCTTACAGCACCTTAGTAAAAAGAATAGGTATTGCTCTTAAATGGAGGTGGATTCGAGTCTCTTACCCAGCCACCCTGCTTCTTTTTTAAAAAATTATTTCTAAAAAACTGTATTTTTAATGATTTGTTTTCACTTTTTTTAACTTTATTTTTAAATATAGTTGACATCCAACATTATATTAGTTTCAGTTGTTAAATCACAACATTTATATACCTTATGAAGTGATCACCACTAAGTCTAGTAACCATCTGTCACCATACATAGTTATTATGATATTATGGACTGTATTCCCAATGTTGTACATTACAGCCCCATGACTTATAATTGTATGTTTGTACTTCTTCATCCCCTTCCCCTTTTCTGCCTATCTCCCCATCTCCCTCCCCTCCGGCCACCATCAGTTTCTTTTTCTGTATCTATGAGTTTGTTTCTGTTTTGTTTGTTCATTTGTTTTGTTTTTAGAGTCCACGTTTAAGTGAAATCATATGGTATTGGTCTTTGTCTAACTTATTTCACTTATTACTCTCTAGGTCCATCCGTATTGTCATAAATGGCACAGTTTCACTCATTTTTATGGCTGAGTAATATTCCATTGTGTACACACACACACACACATCCATCTTCCTTATCCATTATCTATCAGTGGACACCTAGGTTGCTTCTATACCTAGGCTATTATAAATAATGTTGCAGTGAACATAGGGTGTATATCTTTTCAAATTATTGTTTTTATTTCTTCAGATAAATACCCAGTAGTAGAATTGTTGAGTCATACGGTAGTTCTATTTTTAATTTTTTGAGTAATCTCCATACTGTTTTCCATAGTGGCTGCACTAGTTTACCATCCCACCAGCAGTGCAGCTTCCTTTTCTCCACATCCTCCCCAATACTCTATTTGTTGATTTATTGATGATAGCCATTTTGACAGATGTGAGGTAATATCTCATTGTGGTTTTGATTTGCATTTCCCTGATTTAGTGATGTTGAGCAGCGTTTCATGTGTCTATTGGTGTCTGTTTGTCTTCTTTGAATAAATGTTTATTCCAGTCTTCTGCCCATTTTCTAATTGGATTTTTTTTTATGTTGAGTTGTATGGGGTTTTTTTAAATATATTTTGGATATTAACTCCTTATTAGATATAGCATTTGCAAATATCTTCTCCCATTCAGTAAGTTACCTTTTCATCTTGCTGGTGGTTTCCTTCACTGTGCAGAAGCATTTTAGTCTGATGTATTCTTACTGATTTTTGTTTTGTTGCCTTGGCCCAAGGAGTTATATCCCCACTCCACCCCCCAAAAATAAAATTACTAAGACTGATGTCAGAGAGTTACTGCCTATGTTTTTTTTCTTGGAGTTCTATCATTTCAGGTCTTACATTTAAGTCTTTAATCCATTTTGAATTTATTTTGTATATGGTATAAGAAAGTGGTCTAGTTTCATTTTTTTGCAAGTATCTGTCCAGTTTCCCCAACATCATTTATTGAAGAGACTGTCTTTTCCCCATTGTATATTCTTGCCTCTTTTGTCATATATTAATTGACCATATAAGCATGGGTTTATTTCTAGGTTCTGTGTTCTGTTTCATTGATTTATGTGTTTGATTTTGTGCCAGTATATTGTTTTGATTACTATAACTTTGTAGTATAGTTTGAAATTAGGAAGCATGGTACCTCCAGTTGGAGATTTCTTAAGATTTCTGGGGCTATTCGGGGTCTTTTGTGATTCCATGTAAATTTTAGGATTATTTGTTCTAGTTCTGTGAAAAATGTCATTGATATTTTGATAGGTATTGCACTGAATCTATAGATTGCTTTGGGTAGTATAGACATTTTAACAATATTAATTCTTCCAACCATGAGCACCCCAGCAGCCCCCTCTCTACATCAGCAAACAAACATCCAAGTGTCCTCTAAGTACAGTTACTCTGTATCTGGGACCTGTGTACATGAGGAATTATTCCCAGCTGGCTCCTACTATGCCCTGGCCTCAAGCTCTTTAAATAATGAATGTTGAGACTAAGAATTAAAATAATGGTTGGATCTATTTAAGTATAGACCACAACCCAGTAGGGAGACAAAACTGACCACTTCTGGGTGTTAACAATGTTCCTTGTTTTACAGGAAAATAGAATGATACCTAGTTAAACTTTTCTTTTTCATCGGCTTACCAGCTTTTGCTCATCTTTAATAAAATTTGCTTTTAGTTAACGAACTCAATCCATGCACAAAGGAGGGTATAGATCAGCCTTTCATAATGTACCTGGTAGTGGTACTTTCTTTTTAAAACCTGGTGCTGCATGTTAATTTTCCTTTGCTTTTAATAGGTAACAGTATATTCCATTTTGTAATGATGCATGACTCATTCATTGCTCATTGTCTTCCCACCGTTTTTTTTTTCCCCCTTGAGCCAACAAGAAAATCTTTCATGAGAGGAGGGAGACACAGAGTGAGTGAGTTGAGGAATACAGTACTTAAATACTGTTGCTTGATTTTCATTGGTTGTCTCCTTTCTTACGGCGACCAGTCTAATCCAGCCTTCCTTGTCAAATCCCTCCCCTCCCCCACGCACTGCTAGGGGCTGCACAGGGTGTCTTGCTAGAAACTGACTGCAGGCAGTATGTAGGCACCTTTCATTCAGAATGGACGTTCATATATTGAATAGAGAAGAAAGCTTTTAGAACTGTGTCATTTGTCAAAATTGGATGGCTTTTAAAAAGGAATAGAGAGATGCTGAATGTTTTGTATGTTAGCACTGGTTCTTTATTTCTGTTCAGACTCCTAAGTTTTCAGAAGCTTAAATATAGAGCCCTTTAAAAAAAAAAAAAAGGAAGAAAGAAGAATTCTTCTGGTTAGTCGACCTCTTTTTAAGAAGTGCTTCATCATCCTCCTCCACTTCTCCGTGGTGTTTCCCTGCAGCTCTCTGTAGGTTAGGGTTCTGTGCTGGCTGGCAGAATGCTCATTTGTTAGCTGAATACAGGCTTCATCGACAGACATAGATCAATATAGGTTTTATTTCTTTCTGTGAATTCCAAAATGCCATCCAAAGAGTCTTGGTCGGGTAGGAAAACTAATAGAGCTGCAGTTCACAAATCAAAGCAAGAGGGCCGGCAGCAAAATTTATTGATAGCAGCCTTGGGAATGAAACTGGGTTCTCAAAAGTCGTCCGTGACAATCTGGCAACCTCTGAAACTCTTTGCTTATTCGCAGTTGACATCACTTGTTAGAAGAGCAACTCTGAAAGAAAACGAGCAAATTCCAAAATATGAAAAGGTTCACAATTTCAAGGTAAGAATATTTGTTTTTAACCTTTGCTTATAAGAAAGGAAATGTACATTACTTGAAATATACAATGTTAAAGGAATATCTGCTGATGTCTTTTTAAAACTAGGATGACTGGACTAAAACGTTCTTGCTATTTCAGCAATGAAGATGTTTGAAGCAGGATTTTACTTAAAGACTAGCTGAATAAAGCTAATAGAATCCAACCCCATTTTCTCTAATGCTGATTTAGTACTCTGTTTAATCAGTGTATCTCAGGGGTAAAGGTCTTGACTGATATTTAAAAGGTCTCATTTGATAATGATTTTGGTGTTAATTTTATTTGTGATGCAAATATGACTCACTACCTTTGTTGGCTATTTCGTGAGAGGATTAGATCTTATCTCTTCATTTCTGGGAAAAAGCTTTGGCTCTCAGAGTCATGTGCTGTTGCATCTGGATTGAGCAGATGGTCTGCATTTCCCAGTTGCTGTCTTTCCTCTGTTAATGGATTGACCACGATGAAAGGAGACTGACAACCATGGGAATGTAGATGCTGCTGACACGAGAGCAGCTTCTCTTCAGCTTTTGAGTATTTGCTTTCACCTTATGTGTGTGTAGTTTTTCATTATTGTATTAATGTGTTTTACCAACTGTGATCATCTTTGATCAAGGTGATGTGTGTGTTGATTTCAAGCTGTGTGTAGATCTTTCCTGTATTTATAGCATGATATGAGGCCTTGGAGTGCAGTCCTTTGCAACCTGATTTCAAGAGAACATACAATGTGAGGCCACGCAGAGGAGACCCAGTTACACTTAATGGCATTTCTATAGTAACTTCCCGGTAGTTAAACAACTCTATGATGAAGTTCTTGACACATGAATTTTTTAGCTTAGATAAAATGTCATTAGTTTTTATATTAGGGGGTATCTGATTTCAAAAGATGTTAAAAGCTGATCATCCATTTGTTTATTAATTTATTCAACATTTATTCAGCAGATAGAATGTACCACGCTCTGTAGCAGGAAATTTCATTCCAAATTTGCAATTCATCCTGATTTTTAACACCATTTTTTTTTACTTAAATGCCAAATACAAAGCCCCATAAATGCTCTGCTTTTTCCATAGTGAGGAATAGATTTTTGTGATCTTGGGATAAAGGATACATTCCAAAATGTATGGGATGTGTAAAGATTGCTAATATAGCAAGGTAAACCAAAAAGCATTTTTCTTCTCCCTCTTTAATCATATCATTAATGCCTTACCTTTCAGCCAGTATCTTTGATTTAAAATTAAATAGACCATTTAGTATGTGCACATCTTCCATTTATGAACCTAAATAACGCAGGTTACTAGGCCTCAGTTTGTTCTTGCATATACAACTTGGTCTTAAAGGACTTTTATCAGGAAAATGACCCCAAATAAATCTTTTAGCAAACATAAAGTTTATATGCATATTTGGTCCCAAAAATAGCAGTTTAGGTTCCTAAGCAAGAAACTATGCATACTGTTTAGAAATAGCTGAGATTTTAAAATATAACTCCAAAGATGTTCCCTCTGGTGTGTTCAGCAGAAACAAATTGACCTATTAAAGGATACCATTTTAGTGCTAAGTCAAGTTCATTATGCATGCTTTCTATCAATATTAATTAAAAGCAAAACATAGGTTTATTCAATGAGTTGCCTAAACCAGCATATTGATATTCTCCCTCTCTCTCTCTCTCTCTCTCTCTCTCTCTCTCGTTGTATCTTTCAGTAGTTTCTCAATTTTAATTTAACACATGGTTTTCATGAGCAAATTTTGTACAGCCAGAAAGTGCTGACTATGGGACCAACTGTGCCTGTTAGCTTGGTACCCAAAGATATTTGTCTTAAAGAAAAAGGCATGTTAGAAAGTAGAAGCCTGCTTCCTTCTCTGGAGCTAAAAAATTAAAACCAGCTTGGGCGTACTGTTTTTTAAAAAAAGCATGCTCAAGAAAGAGGAGAGAGCTCGTGTTAGACAGTAAGTTGCATTACATATTTTTTAGAGTTGCTAATAAGGTCAGAAGTCTTAGAATTTGACTCTTTCCATTGCAAATACTTTGTCATTTAAAAAATGTTTCTATGGTGGGACATTATAAAAATGAGAAAAGAAGGTGGGGGGAGTCATACTTGACTTCCGAGAACATCCCCAAAAGAATTCAGACTCTGTGGCAGGAGCAGTTGTCTCCCACACAAATGTTCATTTAGAAGGTCACTGTGATATGTAAATATAAGTTCAGTGATTGATTGTGGGAAAAACACCAAGCATTTACATAATGATAACCATTCACATGGCCATGCCATTGACAATTTTCTATGTTGGTAAAAGTGTATTATGCCTAACCACAAGCCCACTCACCAAAACCTCATTTCAATGTGGTTTTCTTTTTTGCTTCTTGAACTGCCTTGTTATGTAACGTTGCTCTGTGGTGTTGAACAGCTGCCAAATCTTATTTCAGGGGTAAAGCCAAGAGTGTCTTATGTCTTATACCTTTGGTGAAAGCATTCACCAAGGTAAAATCCGAAAAAAACTCAACTGGGCCTAACTCCAGACAAATGTGTATTTTTTTAAGGGTTTTAGAAAAGGGGAGAAGGCTTCCCATTTTGTTGTGTTATATAATACAGTCTTTTTTTCCTTTCTTTTTATTGTTACTTATAAGGATTTGATAAAGAATCAATCACAAGGAAGATCATGGTCTCTTAGGGGGATCATCATTTTAAAAATAAGTGCACCACGCTTTTTTAAACACGATTACCCTATAAGTTGTCAACATAACTTAGAGCGAAAATAATTTTAACTGTCTCCTGGATCAACCTTTCATTTTAAGAACCACCCCCATCCTAACACAAGAAAGAGAAAGAAGCTAATTTCTTGAGCAGACTTTAAACTAAACAAAAAACCTCTGACATTAAAAGTCAGACACAGGTAGCCCACCAGCATCCCACCCACATCTGAGGCTCTCTGGATAGAATGATAATGAAGTCCCAGCCCTTGCCCTCAGGAACTTGCTTATTATCTATTTGTATGACCTTGGGCAGATTGCTTTTTCTCTCTATAAATCTCTGTTTCAACATCAGAAAAATGGAGTTCCTGGTATGTGTAGGTACATGGTAGCCACTATTTTTGTTATTACAGAATTCCCCTAAATGGGTACTTTTTTTCTGAATCTATACCAAGACTGTTTTTCTTGCCCAATTATAGAGGTCATGACGCAATTGAGAGCCCTGGCATGATTGTGGGGGCTAAAGAAAGTTCTTGCTTCTTTCTTAACTCCCAGGCAGGGTTAGATATTATATAAGAGCAGTTGCATTATCATGCACTAACACAATACAAGGAAATCCTCTGTATTTCTTTTACTCCCACCAAATTATTCAGTGTTTCATTTGGTATGTTTAATTCCGATAGCTATAAAATAAAACCAAGATCCCATACAGTAACAACAACAGAAACCTGCCTACTTAGGCAAATTAAATAATTTTTTTTTAAAATTAAGAATTACAGTGAGTAGATACTTTAAAATATGAGTTTAGTTCTTTTTTAAGGTAGCTTTGAAGTGACTGGTTGATTTTAGAGTTTCAGATACTTATATTTTGCATATAAATGAAAGATGTAACATATTATATTAATAGACTTAATGTTGCCAAGATAATATGCAAGCAGTGAATCCTGAAATGTGAATTGATACTGCAATTAAAATAACTCTATAATATGAACCTTGTAATATTCAGTAAAGTTACTGATTCAAGACCTACTGGGATAAAGTGATGATAGTGAACCATCAGTCCTGGCCAACAGACTAGATATTCTGCTGGTTAATAAACTGAAGGGTAGGAATCGCCAGCATCCCTGCTGAAAGTGGCCTTTTCTTTCTTTTGAAGGACACAGGCAAATCCAAGCCCTATGTTCTTCATTTGATTCACATTTGAGAATAAATACAAAATGAACCAGCAAATAATAAACAGATATACCATATTTTGCCTTATATAATGCGCTTCTGTGTATAATGTGCACACACGTTTTTGGCCCAAACTTTCAGGGGGAAAAAACCTTTCATTTTAAGTTTAATTCAAATTTTTATTTGTTTACATTTAGTACTTGTTTCTTGTATTATAGAGGAATTTTAGCATTTTTTAACACATATTATGATACAAGAAATTTTATGTAACAAATAATAAAATAATTTACAAAACATAAGAACAGATACAAGGTACAAGAAATTTTATGTACCAGTAACAAATTTATGATATTTAAAAAAAAAAACACTATTTACGATATTTACTCATCATAGAAGGCCAAGAACTCGTTGTTGCAAGTTCATCATCAGTTCAACAAAACCAATGATCATATTCCAGGGTATTATTTTGCCTATGGATATTGTTATTGATTTCTAGAGTTACACTTTTTACTCATAAGCTTAAATACAAGAATTAAAAACATTTATATAGATACGAAATTAGTACAACCCATATATAATGCGCATCCTTATTTTTCCCTCACAAATTTGGGCAAAAAGTGCCCATTATACATAGTTAAATACAGTAGTATGAAATGTTGAGTTAAACTACATGATCAATAAGTTCTCTTACAGCTCTAAAATTCTGATTAAATTATATTGAGAAGCATTTGAGTTGTTAATTATTCTATTTTCCATTATTGAAACTTGTTAAGGCCCATATAGGGAGAACTTTTTAATATATTAATTTTTTAAAAGAATCAAAATAAACTATGAAAGACTATCTTTAAAAACTAGTTATATTAACAGTGAGACATCATATTCAAGGACTGTGCCTACCACCTTCCCCAGCCTTGTCTCTCCATGCTTCCTTTCCCTGTCCCCACATCTAGTATAATGCCTCACAGATGCTCAAGAAGCATCTACTGAATGACTAATAAATGCACACTGTATCTCTTGGGGGACTTTTGTTGTTGTCGTGGTGGTGGTGGTGGTTATTTTGAAACCACTTCTATGGCAGCAGGAAATTTAAACACAAAAATAGATTCTTC